CCAAGCCGGATTCAGGCTAATCGAAACAAAACGGCACAAGGTGAGGATCTAAACAGAAACAATGAAACTAGCACTGCGCTAGTTTTGGTCACACCCGAAAATAGTCAATATCACCTTAACAACGTCAACTGCAACACATCCGCTGAAATTACACCCGAAAGAAACAACCAAGATCTTTCGCAGGGACTATCACACAACAACATAAACAGCAAGACGATGAGCTCTGAGCCTACAATCCCAGGAATTCCAATGGATTTTGGGTCAGCGTTGGGATAATGTCTCCTTATGCCAACGCATCAAAACGTCAACAAACGTCCCGAAAGCATGGAGACACGAAAACTACACCAATCGATACCACACCCATATTCTCAATGCAACCTACTACAACAAGTACCTACGAGGGAAAAGAAAACAAGAATACGAATAGTACTACCTGCAAAGATAGTACTGATAACACCTACAATAATAATCAAAGGACAGCGGGAAATAATAAGCGACCCCGAAACTACCTAACACAACCTCGCAAGTCACCGACATCTATCCTCTTGTGGAACATGGGTCCACTCAACATGACTAAAGCAATCCTGGGATCTCAATTATTAATTGAGGAGAATGCCACTGTACTACTGCTAAGTGAAGGTAATGCAAAGACAAAAATGTCCGAATTAAGCCCCCTGCCATCTACGATTATTCACTGCCAACATGATCGCACCTGGGGAGGAGTTGCATCTATTGTAAACAGTCGAATAACTCACTACTGGAAAATCCTTCACGAACAAACAGAGTTCTCTATTGCTTCTCTACACTTCCCTGATAATCTCAGGAATAAGCAGCATATGATTATTTCCCTGTATATATCACCAAGAGATGGACGCAATCTCCAACTCTTAATTGACTGCTTGCAAATCGTAGAGAAACATATGAATAATTCTACACTGATCGGAGGGGACTTCAATGCCCCTAAGGGAAGCCAACGTCGCACTTACTTATTGAATTGGGCCACTTCTCATGAACTCTGCATTGCAGACACTGAGCCAACCCACTTCCGCGCGAACGCTACCCCGACACACTTAGACCTATTTCTTGTTCCGGTAACTTGGAGATATGAAGCAAAAACTCTCCAATCGGAGACGGAGCATAAACCAGTCCTATTGACGATTGGAATTACAACACAATACACGAAACATAACAAAACTGTTCATTGGAGAAAACTCGGAAACAATGAGGATCTACAAAAAGAATATTTAACACTACTAGAAAAATCTACCATTGAAGACCCATTTGATAGAATTAACGAGGCAGGGAAAACCTGCCTTGGAATAACTATGCATAGACCTCGCCCTTTTCTCAAATCAATTCGAGAAAGAAGCATAAACTCAAGCTTTAAAGACAATCAAGCTACGGAGTTTGAAAATGTAAAAGATCTAATTAATAAACGCATCGAAAGAGTCGAATATTTATCTAAATTCCCAAAATTTTGGAAGTTATTTAAAGGAGGGAAATGCAACGGCCAATTAGACCCTAGATCTGTCTTAAATTGTCTGGAACCAATATATAAAGCTAAAGACTACCCCAAAATGGCAGAAGCTGGAGAGATTTCAGCAAAAGTCTGTGAACTTAAGGATGAGATCTCAGAGCTTGATGAACTAATCTCTGAACACTCCGTCAGAAAGACATTGGACTGGATTGGCCAAGGGAAAGCCGCTGGACATGATTGCATCCCACATGTCGCGYTGAAATATGCAGCTTTTGATGACAGACTAGTAGCTGACCTGACAGCCTACTACAATGATCTCTTTCTTGGTAAGGAATTACCAGTCTGCAAAGCTGCAGTATTCCCAATACCTAAATCTGATGGCTCAATCCGACCTATTATGATACAGGATAAACGTTTCCACATCATAAGCACTATTATATGGGAGCGACTTAATTGCTCTAAAACTTACGATATGAAATTCGATAACCAATTTGGTTTTATACCGAGATCGGGATGCCCACAACATCTAATCTCAACTTATCACAATATTAACCACATGAGGGCCGCATGTTTTCTGGATTTATCCAAAGCATTCGACACAGTCCCAGTGGACTATTTGATTTATAGTCTTGCGAAGCACATGGGAGCACTATCTGGTCGACTTGTTGGATTCATCGCCCGACTAACAAAAGTAGAACGAGTTGCGTATCTAAACCCACTCTCAGCTGATATTAAATTCACAGTTGAAACTGGCATACCACAAGGTGGTGTATTATCGCCGTGGTTATTTAACTGCGTGATGGATCTTCTGCAAAAAGAAATAGCTGTAATCATGACGCCTTCAAGGCCAATGATTAACATGTATGCAGATGACATTGTCCTTTTTGCCGAGGACGGCCGCACACTTCAACTAGCACTAAATTCTGCTCTAAAATCAGTGGAGGCATGGGGCGGTCATTTTAACGCAAAGAAAACAGAATTATTCCATACCCCTGAAAACGACGAAGATATAATTTATATGTATAATGAAAGTCTGCCCATCCATGACAAGGCTAAAATCCTAGGACGTATCCTTCAACTGGATAGGACAACAGTTCCTAGATGGGGCGACCAACATAAAGTGATATCATCTATCAGATTCCGCGTGCACGATGGCCTACCAATAAGAATGGGAATGGAAGTATTTCGTGCTGTATATTGGAGTGACACCCTATATGGAGCCGAGATTTTCCCGCCAAATTTAGAAAAATTACGAGTTATCCATGAGACCTGCTTACGTTTCCTCCTAATGATAGGATGGCGACGATTTCACCGCTGTCTTCGCCAGCGTGAAGTAGGAACTTTATATCACCCTTGGGTATGGGTACATAATAGAATCAATAACCTCGTTTTTAGAATTAAGCCGCATGAGCGCAAAAAACTCATGCAAAATAAGGAGTGGGTAAAGAAAGCACTGCCTTTCCTAACCGATTACTACACCTTATGCGACATGAACGAAACGCCCGCTAAAGGCGGTAAGGCAAAAATGAATGAAGAAAATAAAGATAACAAGGAAAACAAAGATAAGGAGGAAAACAATGATAATGAGGAAAACAAAGATAACAAGGAAAACAACGAGGGAAACCCAAACATTGAGGCAATCCCAAACAATGAGGAAATCCCAAATAATGAGGAAAACATTGATAATATAGGAGATAAGGACAAAGAAAACAATGTCAAAAAGAACATGAAGACAAAGGCAAATATTCTTGATAAATATATTTCTAAGGAAATGGCCCCTGAAATAACCCCTGGACTTTTGCACATAAGTGATAGAATAAAGGACGTGATCATTAACGAGGCAAAAGCATTAAATATCTACGACCTTACGGATCCAGTATGGAATGACATTTCACTTAGACCGAAAGCCTACCTGAGTCTCCCAAGAGCACAAATTGCGACTCTATTCAGAGCGCACTCAATGTGCCCCTCAGATCTAGGCGAGGTCCTATGCCCATTTTGTGTGACCGGTTACGACCGAGGCTTACACTACACCACCCAATGTCAGAGATTACCTGCACACCTGCATAAGGAGAGAGCTCGTTTATTTAAATTATGTGAAGATAAACTGGAGCGAATGCGATTACAGGATGACTTATGGGTAAAAGAAAACAAAAAGATTGCGAAGGCAATAATCAGGTGGATGTGGAAATTACATGCAGCACGCACTGGCCAAAGGGAAACAATAAAAGACCGTCGACTATTTGATGGAGAGGCTTTCCCAGCATATTTTTCCCTTGCCAACACACTGATAAGCCTACCAATACCTGACGAGGATACAAGAAAACCTTGTACAGCTACAATAAAATCTAAACGGAAAACCGATAGCAATAACAGCGGGAACAGTAATAATAAGAGAAAAGATAACATGAACGCCTGCGAAATAAACAAAAAGAGTACTGTCATCAAGAAAGCCACGAAATCTTCGGGAACCATCCACTGCAAAAACTGCGAACGGACATTTAGAACTCTAGGTCACCTGAGGCTACATATGGTCCGACATATCCGACAGCAATATGCAGAGATGGTTACTAACACGGCAGCACACTCTAAACTTGAAGAAATTGTTACAGAAATGTATACAAGTACAACTGGACAATATAATTGTAGCGGTTGCTTGAAAACTAGTGAGTCAAGGGGGCACTTTAGTCTGCATCTCAGACATAATAGAAAATGCCCAACAGCCATTAAGACTCAATCGCAACTGAACGAATTGTCAGACTTGTGTGATAACGGCGATCCAGGAACTGATAAAAGCGCTGTACCCACAACACTTAATGACAATAGTAATGCGGGGACAGACCCCATTGCAAACCCCAGTTACCCCACTCTAGAGGCACAAATGATAATTGAGAACACAAAGAAGGCTAATGAGAATATCATTATGAACAACCTACTACGAGATGGTATTTACACCTGTCCCGGGTGTAAAAAGGAATATAAAAGAAAAGATCATTTGAAATCACATATGATACAACATGAAAAATGTAAATTTGCTATCGACAGTCGCAATCCGAAACTATCTCCCTGTTCCCTCATCACGAAATATTTCCCAGACGAAACGCCTGATAACGAAGACATCGTTGAGGACAACGATAATGTTATAACAGACGTAATAACTGTCAACGGAGATAATGGTGAGGACAAGGATAATGCTATAACAGAGGCAACGGCTACCAACGAAGACGCCGTTGAGGATAATGCCATACCAGGAAATAACAGCGACGATAGCCAGAAGATTACGCACACGGAAAATAATATGTGTACATCGATAAACAAAGTGAGGGGGGAGGTAGTGTCCCCTAACACAAGTAAAATACCATTAAAGCGTCCTATATCCAATAGGCTGCTAACTGAAGAATACATAAAGGAACATATGGAGCAGCCCATATCCAATA